AGACCAATCTCCCTCATGAACATTGATGCAAAAATATTCAAAATAAAATACTGGCAAACTGAATCCAAGAACACATAAAAAAAATCATCCACCATGATCAAGTAAGTTTCATCCTAGAGATGCAAGGGTGGTTAAACATACAAAAATCTGTCAACATAATCCACCACACAAACCAAACTGATAGGGAAAAAAAAAAAACATGATCATCTCATCAGATGCTGAAAAAGCCTTTGACAAAATCTAACACTCCTTCATGATAAAGGTCTTGGAGAGATAAGTGATACAAGGAACATACCTAAACATAATAAAAGCAATATAGAGCAAGCTGACAGCCAACATCAAATTAAATGAAGAGAAACTCAAAGCAATTCCACTAAAATCAGGGCCAAGACAAGGTTGTCCACTCTTCCCATATTTATTCAATATAGTACTCGAAGTTCTAGAGCAATAAGACAACAAAAGGAGATAAAGGGTATTCAAATTGAAAAGGAAGAAGTCAAACTGTCACTATTTGCAAATGATGTTATGCTCAGATCATGATCCCAAAGAGACCACTGAAGACCGTGGATGTCCAGAATGCAACAGCAAGGTTTATTCTATAGATACAAGTCTAGACAGGGAACTCGTTCCTACACCCAATACAGTGAGGCAGGGAGGAGTTGCTCATTCTTTGTGAGGCTAGCTATTTAAAGGCAAAACCCTCAAGCCCTTCAGGGCGGTTGGGGAGCAGGGGTTGGGGATTTTGCAAGGGTGCAACTCGGATTGGTTTATTTTTATCTCTGTTCTCTTTCAATTGGGTGAGGGTATGTAACCTTTGAATTTACTGGTTGGGGGTTACAATTATCATTTTGGGGGCAGTCTGGCACAAGTCCCAGGCTTTGTCCTTGAGCTGCCATGGGGGCTGGCTGGCCTAGCACGTACTGACTGTGGGGGCTAGCTCAGTGGTCTAGGCTCTGTCCTTGACTCATGCACATAACTCTAAGTTGGTGAGGGGTCCCAGACAGTAAACATCTGGCTGAACTTTGAGCAGTCAGAGTATGTGCAGAAAGGGAGCTACTGCAAGGACTATGTCTTTTGTTCACGGCCCTCCCAGAGACTGCTTGCTCAAGTCTCAGGAAACTGAAATTGAGGCCGGATCTCTGAGAGAAGACTGAGCAGCCTGTTATGGCATCTGCTTGGCCCTTTCAGATGTGACCCCAAAAGTGCTACCAGGCAACTCCTATAGCTGATAAACACCTTCAGTAATGTGGCAGAATACAAGACTAACTCAAAAAAATCAGTAGCCCTCCTTTATACAAATGATAAATGGGTTGAAAAAGAAATCAGAGAAACAACACCCTTTACAAGAGCCACAAATAATATAAAATACCTTGGGGTAACTCTAACCAAACAAATGAAAGACCTGTATGACAAGAACTTCAAGTCTTTGAAGAAAGAAATTGAAGAAGATATCAGAAAATAGATTTCTCATGCTCTTGGATAGGTAGAATTAACATAGTAAAAATGGTAATTTTACCAAAAGTAATCTACACATTCAATGCAATCCCCACCAAATATCAACACAATTCTTCACAGACTTCAAAAGAATAATACTCAACTTTATATGGAAAAACAAAGAACCCAGGATACCCAAAACAGTCCTGTACAATAAAAGGACTTCTGGATGCATCACCATCCCTGACCTCAAGCTCTACTATAGAGCTATAGTAATAAAAACAGCTTAGTATTGTCATAAAAACAGACACATGGATCAATGGAATCAAATCAAAGACCCTGACATCAATCCACACATCTACGAACACCTGATTTTTTACAACAAAGCCAAAACTGTACAATGGAAAAAGAAAGCATCTTCAACAAATAGTGCTGGCATAACAGGATGTCGACATGTAGAAGAATGCAAATAGATCCATATCTATCACCATGCACAAAACTCAAGTCCAAGTGGATGAAAGACCTCAACATAAATCCATTTACACTAAACTTAATATAAAGGAAAGTGGGAAGTAACCTTGAAGGCATTGGAAAAGGAGACCACTTCCAAAATATAACACTAGTAGTACAGACACTGAGATCAACAATTAATAAATGGAACCTCCTGAAACTGAGAAGCTTCTCTAAGGCAAAGGACACAGTCAATAAGATAGACTACAGAATGGGAAAAGAGCTTCACCAACCCCACTTCTGACAGAAGGCTGATCTCCAAAATATATAAAGAACTCAAGAAACTAGACATCAAAATACCAAATAATCCAATAAATAAAATGGGGTACATATCTAAACAGAGAATTCTCAACAGAAGAACTGAATGGCTGAAATACACTTAAAGAATTGTTCAACATCCTTAGTCATCAGGGAAATGTAGATCAAAAATGACTCTGAGATTTCATCTTATACCTGCCAGAATGGATAAGATCAAAAACACAGAAGACAACTTATGTTGGAGAGGATGTGGAGTAAGGGGAACACTCCTCCATCGCTGGGAGTGTAAACTTGTGCGGTCACTTTGGAAATCAGTATGGTGGTTTCTCAGAAAATTGGGAATCAATCTACTTCAAGACTCAGTGGTACCGATTTTGGACATATACCCAAGGAATGCTCAATAATACCACAAGGACACTTGCTCAACTATGTTCATAGAAGCATTATTCGTAATAGCCAGAACCTGGAAACAACCTAGATACCCCTCAACTGAAGAATAGATAAAGAAAATGTGGTACATTTACACAACAGAGTATTACTCAGCAGTAAAAAACAGACATCATGAAATTTGCAGGCAAATGTATGGAACTAGAAAAAAATCCTGAGTGAGGTAACCCAGAAAGACAAACACAGTATGTACTCACTCATAAGTGGATACTTTATCTAAAGCGAAGGATAACCAGGCTACAGGTCTGGGAATCACCTTTTCTGAAAATACTTCTTGTCTTCAGAGACTAAATTTTGCCAGACCTTGCAACCAAGTTAATAATATGCCTTAAGACCATTTAACACCATATAGTCACTCTGTTTCCCTACTGTGTATTCATCCGGTTTAAGTTGAACTTGCCTTTAAGAAAGCAATGTAGCCAACCTAACCATGCCTGGACTTCAGATATACTTTGCTTTTACAACCTAAGCTAAATGCATAGCTTTAATCTTAAACTACGTACTCTTCCATATTCCTGACCCAGAAGAGTGTGTGTGTGTGTGTGTGTGTCTTGAGAGAGAGAGAGAGAGAGAGAGAGAGTGTGTTATGGGGATAATTTGCTAAAAACAGACAATAAATTGAAAGTATCTTTAAAGAAAACAAGTATCCAGCATAAATGTTAGAATCATCAAGTGGGTATAGGTTGATAACATCTGCCTGCAGTTCTGAGTGCTATTTGGTGTCAGGAAAGTAGCATCTTCTCTTGTAAGACTCTATTAAATTTTTCAGTATAAAAGAATTCTTCATTCCTTGTGGGAGTCCAGCTCCCACCTTTCAATGGGTTCTTGAGGGGAGGAGAGAGGAATAATGAAGTATTAGATAGAAAGATAGAAGGAGATGATAAGAAAGTCAGAGACACAGGATAGCTTTGGGAGGGCCCTAGGGCAATACCCAGTCACCTTGAGGTTTATTCCAAAGGGCTTTTTATACAATGCCAAGGGGCAAGGCAAAAGACCTCCCCCTTTCAAGATCAAAGCACACCATACAGCCAAGAGTAGACCCTTCAAAACACCGGGTAACCATGCTCCTGGCCAAATCATCCCATTATGCAGCTCTCCTGGGTAAAGTAAACTCAGATTCTCTGACCTTGAATAATTTGGGCCCCCACAATTCTTTTCCAATACCATGTTTTTCTGTGCTGTTCAATGAATATAGAGCAAAGCCCTTTTAAGGACAGACAGACATCAGACCACAAATAACAAGACAGAAGACACAGGGTAAGAAGTGGAGAATTCAAATGTGGTCTCTAATAGGAATTCTAACCACGCCCCCATGACCGTGCATGCCCTGGGAAGACACCTAGTCATTTCCGCCTAGTCATTTCTGGGGCCATCTGTCCTCATACAGTTACGTAATTTGTGTGCAATGTGATCACGTAATCTATGCACATGCATGGCGCAACCACATGGGCCCATATGCGCATGAGCTAGGGTAGTCCGTAAAAGGCAGATCCCATGCACCCTCCCCGCTCTCTGCACATGTCTTTCAAACAGGCTCATTCTTTCCTGTTCCTTCCTTCTCCTAATAAAACTCTCATAGTGGGTTTTGTTGTGCCTCATGACTTTTCCTTGCAGGGTAAAAGCACCGCATAAAACCAACAGTCTCATTCTTAGTTGTGGTGGTTTGAATAAGAATGGCCCCAATAGGCTCATGTATTTGAATGCTTAGTCACCAGGGAGTGGAACTCTTTGATAAGATTATTAAGGGTTAGGAGATGTGGCCTCATTGGAGTAGGTTTGACCTTGTTAGAGGAAGTCTATCACTGGGGGTGGGCTTTGAGGTTTTAAAAGCCTATGCTAGCTAGACTCATTTCTCTGTGTGTGTCTCTGTCTCTCTGTCTCTCTCTGTCTGTCTGTCATTCTGTCTCTGCCTTCAGATCAGGATATAGTCCTCAACTACTTCTCCAGCACCCACCATGTGTGCCGCCATGCTCCCCGCCATGATGATAACCTCTGAAACTGTGAGCAAGCCCCCAATTAAATGCTCTCTTTTATAAGAGTTGCCTTGGTCATGGAGTCTGTTCACAGCAATGGTACAGTGACTAAGACATTGGTTTATAATGCTCCAAGAGGAAGACTTTTTTTTTAAATTCTTTAATGCAACATTGACACATAAAGAATAAGTTTTTTAAGGCATCTGTAAGAAAGACAACAATATTGATTTTGGATCCACTCTTGAACCTAGTGACTGAATGAATGTTTCTTTATAGTATTTAATGGGTTTCAAAACACATTCTTCTAAGGTTAAATTAAAACGACTTAATTTAAATGGCATTTTCAGTGAATCCTTTTATAAACCACGTATTACTTACAGTAAGCACTTGTCCAACAGAGTATTCATTTGAGAGGACCAAGGAGGTCCCGTACCAGAACGCCAGTGCATACGCTGCATACACCAGTAGGTAGGCAATACCTATGGAAATGTTGGCTGTGATCGCTTTCTTTATTCCAACATTTTTAGCTTCTTCTAAATTTTTATCGTACCTGGAAGAAAAACCAGAGATCATTACATGTTCTCATAAGCGTGGAGGAAGTATGTTAATGTAACAAGGCAGCTGGTTGACAGTTGGAACACACCAGCCCTTCACTACATGTGCTTTCTTCTTTTCTCCATACATTGCCCCTAAGATGTACTATTATTTTATTCCTTCACTGAACAGTACGCTGAGGCTTAAACCCTTTCTGGCCTTAGTAATTGTGAAATAATGAAAAATATCAAAAGCACATATTATTGCACACACACAGGGAAAACCGCTGGTCACGGCAGCTCTGCCTATAACCCTAGCACTAAGGAGACTGAAGCAGGAGGACCACAAGTTCAAGGCCAGCCTGTCCTGCTCGGGACGGAGGATGGGAGAAGGAGAGATTCAGGGTAACGGTGGAGGAGGAGGCTGGAGGAGAAGGAAGATAAAAAGGCGGAAGAATGAAGAATTTAGAAAACGAGAAGAAAGAAGGGGATGAAGAACAAAGGAGGAGGAGGAGGAGGAGGAAGGAGGAGGCGCACAGAGTTAAGGAACTGGGGATAGAATGCTAGAAATTCGTAGCATCAAAAAGCTATTCAAAGCTCCGGACCTGAAGAAAGCTTTAAGGACAGTTTGCTCACTTGGGGGTACAGGAAGACTGAGAGCGCCAGACCAGCCAGGGCCACACAGCAAAGGGCTCTCTCTTAGAAACAAACAAGCCGAACGCGCTATCTTATTTCTATAGATGTGAATTTTAAAGTCACTGATCTACAAAAATTAATTTGGCTTATGACTATATAGTAGGAACAGGCCAGGGAAGCTGCAGGCACCAAATGACAGCACGTCACAGAGGGGGCCCAGACTGGCCCGGAGGTGAGGCGGCCAAGAGCCACAGGCTCCGAGGGAAGGAGCCTGGATCAGGCTTCCATCTCACAGAAGAACAGAGCTATGGAGCTGCACTCTGCCAGCACGCCACGGACACACAAGCTTAACTAAGCTACCAAGCCTACTCATTCTCTTTCCTAACTGCACTCTGCCAGCATGCCAGGGACACACAAGCTTCACTAAGCTACCAAGCCTACTCATTGTCTTTCCTACCGGAACAAACTGATAGGAAGGACACCCCTGGGAGTGACCGGATCCACAACACCTCAATTACAAATGCTGGGTCAACTTTCACCAAAGAAAGGTGATTCAGAAAAAAACCAACTTCTGCTAACAAAGTAACTCCAGATGGACGAATCCCAACACGAAACCAAAAACTGGATGAAAATCCAAGACAGCACACACCCTCCAAAAATTACCAATCTCATGGGAAGGGATGGCACTGACAGGGACTGAGCTCAAATTCCAAACAAAGAATTATAAAATATGACTATAATCACATTCACAGACTTTAAAGAGAACATGTAAACACTTGTAGAAGTCAATTCAAGATATGGAAATAGAATTCAATAATGACAGAAATACTGAAGAAAAATCAAACCAAAATGATGCTCAAAACACAAAACTCAGTAAGTCAAATCCAAAGGCAAGTGGCAAGTCTTACCAAGAGACTGGCTAATGCAGAGGATGGTCTAGCAGGACGTGAATCAAGGTAAAGGAATCGTGTCATTCAGTCTCAAAGACATTGATAATTTTTTAACTTCTTTTTATTTTTTTAAAACATGCTGGAACACATAAAAGTCAGGACCAGAAAAGAAATTCCCCATGTCGAGTTATAGTTAAAACATAGAAAGGGTGAAAAAAAGGGAAGTGAAAGCTGCAGGGAAAAAAGGCCAATCACATACAAAGACAGAACAATCAGAATAACAGCTGATTTTCCCAGAGAAATCTTTAAAACCAGAAGGGCTTGGAGTGATGTAGTTCAAATTCTGAAAGAACACTGCTAATAGCCAAGACTATTATACTCAGAAAAACTACCTATCATCATTGAAGGAGAAACAAAATTTTCCAGAACACAATGGTCTAAACATAAGACTGGCAGATTTGAAACTGCTGGAGAAATAAAGGGCATATACTTGAACATATGAGCCTAATTAAGGACTCTCAGAATAGGACTCACTCAGGAAGTAAATCCAACAATCAAAAATCAGTGCTCCACGAAAGTCAAATGTTTCTGTATTCAGAAGGAAACACGTTCGAAAGACACATAGAAAGAAAAAAAACTGTTAAAAACTTAATGAAACTATTCTGATTACTGAATTAAATGCATTCACAATTGCGGTTAAATTTCCATTCCAAATGAGCTGGTTTCCTCCCACATGGATATTTTGAAGGGAAAGTGGGATGGACTGCTTTAGTAGAAGCTTTGTGATATCATATCCCAAGACATACTGAAGGTTTTGCCATGTTGGGAGACTTAGATGACTTGCTATCCCAGACCCCATCCCCACCCTCACTACAGGAGACTTACTCTCATCTCTCAGGTCTCATGCTAATTGAAATCTCCTCTAAGAGACATTCCTTGATCATATTTAAATATCCCCTCCTCATAATCCTCAGTACATTTCTTTTATCAAAGCATTTTTCAATGACTATGTTTGTGTGTGTGTGGGGGGGGGGGTGTTGGTTAGGGTTTCTATTGCTGTGAAGAGACACCATGACCACAACAACTCTTATAAAGGAAAAACATTTAATTGGGTAGCTTACACTTCAAAAGTTTAGTCCATTATCATCTTGCAGGCAGACATGGTGCTAGAAAAGGAGCTGAGAATTCTACAACTTTGATCAGCAGGCAACAGGAAGTGAACTGAGACACTGGGTGTGACTTCAGCATATATGAGATCTCAAAGCCCACCTCCACAGTGACACACTTCCTCCAACAAGTCCCCACCTCCTAATTGTGCCACTCCCTTTGGGAGCCATTTTCCTTCAAACCACCACAGAGTGTGTATGTGCATATGAGCAAAGATGCCCCTGGAGGCCCAAAAAGGGCATCAGGTCCCCTGGGGCTGGAGTTACAGGTGGTTGAGCCCCATAGAAACTCAGGTCCTCCCTAAGAGCAGTATGCCCTCTTAACAACTAAAAGATCTCTTCAGCCCTATCAAAGCATATTATGTCTCTCTAAAAAAATATTTCTGTAACTCTCATAGGGTCTTTTATCCCTCCAAACTGGTGTCTGTGTACCAGATACTTCCTTACTTGTAGTTTTTGTACCATCCCTTTCTTCTATAAGAATGAAAACAGGCTTTCAAACATATTTCAAAAAGCAAACAGAACATATATATCCCTTTTTCTGAAGGCATACATTAGGAAAGCATAATTAGAACTGCAACTTTGCAGAATATTAGCAATAACACTGAATTTTAAATTTGTAGCAAAAGAAACTCAAACCTTTCAAGTTCTTTCTTTTGTCCTCCAAATGCAATCACAGTTCTGATGGCCACTAAGACTTCTTCAGCAACTGCTCCAGCTTTTGCATAAGCCTGGAGTTCCTTATTAGTAAATGAAGTCAATACCTGTCAAAGTGCAATCTTAAATCATTAAAAATGCTCAACAAATCTATCTTCTGCAGAGTAAAAAAATAGATATAAAAATGTTGCTTATACAGAAATCGTACAAAGAGCATGATCTTTGAATGTCAGGTATCTTTGGGGAGAGAAAAAGTATAATGGTTTCCCTACCAGTGCCCTCTAGCTGACACAATGTATGGGCAAGGAAGAGAACCCTGGATACAAAGGGACTTCTGGGTCAGGTGCCTGACATGCCTGAGACCCTTCTGCTCTTCCTTCATGCCTGAGTTAAGGAGACAGCCTCAAGTCCACAGCAGGAAACAGCTTCTCAAACTAGTAGTGCATCTATGTTGGAATAGAGCTCACAATCTGAGAATCTAAGACATGTGCAGGGTGTAAAACGAAGGGCCCGGGAACTGAAGTGATGTGTAGACCTCACAGATTATGTTGCTTTCCCTTTTCCTCATCTATCCACAAGGTATTCTAAAACATTTTAATTTATCCCGTTCTGACACGAGGCGTTTGAACCTAACTGTTCAATGTTCTACTGAACAGGAAAATCAATTAAGCTTTGAGGCTGGCAAAGGCTGCCATGATAGCTTGTTGGGTAAAAGTACAACTCCAGCCTGATGACCTGAGGTCGCTCCCTGGAGAGTGACAGTAAGTCCTCCAAACGCTGGAGGGCCGTGCAGACACGGGAGGGACACCCGTACACAGCTGACACTTCACAGGGGACAAGGCGCTGTCCTCTACCGAGCACAGATCTTCCCAGTTCAGCACGTCTTTTCTACGAAGGTGGGAAACATACAAGGTCCCCTTCCTTCTTACCCTTTCCCCAAATAAGAGCTCAGTGGGTCTGGATCAGCTTAGCTTGCCCCTTGTTAAAATGGAAGCCTAAAGCAAGGACCAAACTCACAATCAGGGCTGCCGTGGTTTAAGACCCTCCCGTGGGGTTCTGGGGAGGACTCTGAAATGTGGATTTACCTACCTTGGCCCACATAGCAGATGACAATCCAATCAGAGGAGTGACAGCCAAAATGACAAGGGTTAGCTTCCAACCACTTATAAATCCTACAACAAAACCAGCTAGAAATGTGGTTATGGACTGAAAGCACATTCCAATTTTGTCACCAATTCCATCATTGATTTTGGAGACATCACTGAAGAAGAAAGAGATTGTGTTACAAATAATGTCAGATTTGCAAACACAGAAATTAGCCAGTTTTATATTGTATCACTGATTCTGATGTAAATTAATATGTCTACAACCATTGTATACATATATTTCATTTGACAAGCTATCTGTTTCCCCTAGATTTTGTCATTAACAGCTTCCTATGGCCAGCATGGCCTCAGAATACAGACACAGGATGTTTAAGACAATCCACTGTGAAATGACAGACAGACAGGAGCTCCTTCCTTCTTTCCAGTGTTTTCCAAGGACACCAAGGAGCCCTGGCAGGATGGCAGTCAGAGGCTGGATGGACAGGTCACCAAGGAGCCCTGGCAAGATGGCAGTCAGAGGCTGGATGGACAAGACACCAAGGAGCCCTGGCAGGATGGCAGTCAGAGGCTGCATGGACAGGCCATATTGTTGCTTGCTGCACATCACAGCTGTGCTCACTCTCTGCATGTTTCTTGACTCTGCCAGTCAAGGAGCTCCACCCCCATTCCTGCCAGGGTACTGTGAACAAGAAGCCGTGTAAGACACGGGAACTGCTCACAAGGGCGCTACTCTGCTCAGGGATGCACTGACAGTCTACTCCACTGAAGTAAGAACAAGACCGTATCTGACATCAGCTAAAACTAGGTACTCACTCTGTGAGTCGGGTGTTGAGCTCCCCAACGTCATGCACGTCAAACCAGCCTATCTCCTGATTCATTATAGCATGAAAAAACTTCTGTCTAATTTTGTGTATTTGTCTTCCAGCTGCCAGGCACCAAAATGAAACCTGGATGTAGGCAACTATGAGCACGCCAGCACCAATCCCCGTGTAATAGTAGGCGTACCTGAAAAACAAGAACACTGTACATGCTGTTTCCTAATCAGTCCTGCTCTCTGCACACAACTGAGTCTTACTCCTTCAGCTCTCTGGGTATCCCACCATCCTTAACAAACAAGAAGGGGTTGTGAGGGGCAGAGCTGTAACTGTCAGCATCCGCCCATGTCTGCACTAATATAGAGGAACCGCTAACAGTGGCTGGTGCACAGGGGCAAATCCCAGCTCTTCACTTAACTACCTTGTAAACTCAGGCAGGATGCGTAACATCTTGGGCCCCAGTTTTCTAGCTAGTAAAATGGAGGTGAGACTCGTTATACTGGCAGTCTATTGAGACATGGCCTTGTAGTCCTAATTCTATTATATCAGCATCAATTAATGAGTCTCTGCTTGTCAAGGGACATATCACAGGATTTGTCTGAAAGTGGAAACCAGGGATAGAAGTGTTGGGAAATATTATTGTAAGGTGTGTTACCTTTTTTTGTTTATGTTGCTTCTGTTTAACTCTGTGAAGCTGTGTTACTGTGCCTGTCAAAAACACCTGATGGTCTGATAAAGAACTGAACAACCAACAGCAAGGCAGGAGCAAGGATAGGCAGGGCTGGCAGGCAGAGAATACATAGAAGGAGAAAACTGGGAGGAGAGATCTAGGAGGCAGAGAAGGAGGAGGACTCCAGGGGCCAGCCACCCAGCTACACAGCCAGCCACAGAGTTAGAGTAAGATTTACAGAAGTAAGAGAGAGACAAAAGCCCAGAGGCAAAAGGTAGATGGGATAATTTAAGGTAAGGAAAACTGGAAAGAAACAAGACAAGCTAAGTCTGGGCATTTATATTTAAGAATAAGCCTCCGTGTGTGATTTATTTGGGAGCTGGGTGGCAGGCCCCCCAAAAGAGCAAAAGGGCAAAAACAACAACATAGAAGTGATTCCTGTCCCTTTGAACTACTGAAGACCTCAGCTGATAAGTGACAGATGAAAATTAACAGTATTTGTATCTGCCCAATTTGTCATTTTGAACAACCATAAAATGTTTAAGGAATCAAAGAGCACGAAAGCCTTCAAATTAAACTAAGGAAAAGGTGAACTCATGTTCCCTTATTCTGAGTCTTCACATTCACTAAAGCAAACCTTAGGCTTCTTCAATCAGTTAATATTTAGATAAAAGGCAAAGCTTCCAGCGTGAAATACAGGGTACCGATTTCCCCATCTTCAAAAAGAGAAGTTCTACTTGTTATCTTCTGGAAATTGCAGTGTGTCATGGGAAGCATCAAAATGGTTATTTAAAGTAAGAGAGTCTCTGGTGTGATGTTCACAGCTCTGCGCTCAACCTACCAGGATCCTGCTAACATATCACACCCCATTACATCATATAACTTACAAAAAGATATAGCACAACTAGAATGCTTCTCATTAATAGGTGAGTCTATAATTGTTTTTCATGTGCTAATGATATAGCAAGAGTAACCCCATTTAACAAGTGTAACTTATATTTAGGGAACAACCTGTAAGATGTTTAGTTTTACTCATTTGTTCACTTATTTCTGCTTTTTAGCTATTTAAAAAAAAAAAACAAAAAAAAAACAGGGTCTTGCTATGGAGCCCAGGCTAGCCTCAATCTCACAAGCTTCCTGCCAGTGCTTTCACAGTGCTAAGAGGCATCACCATTCCTAGCCTTGGTAATGTATTTCAAACAATCAAGATGTTGCTGTTAACTGGGCATTGTTGCTTAAACCTGTAATCCCAGCACTTGGAAGGCTGAGGCAGAAGGGCTGGCGCAAGCTTGAGGGCAGCCTGGGCTACATCAAGAGGTCAGACCCATCTCAAAAAAAGAAGAAAGAAAAAGAGGGACTTGTAGTTGTCACTATATAAAAATAATGCCTCTCTACAATAGCATTTAGAGTGTTTGCGTCTTATCGTTCAAATATGATCAAGTGTCTCCCCTTCCTTTAAACATGTCAAAGCATTCATAGGATAATGTAGAATCACGTAATCTGAATATCCTCATGGATCCTTGCACATTTGTTCAAAGATATTCTCAGAACAAATTTCAAAGCATGTAATAATTTACAAAATATTTTCCCAAGGTAAGTTAAGGTCAAAATCAAATGTTTATTTATTCTAGGATTTTTTTTGCTTTTAGTTTTTTGGAGTTTTTTATTTGTTTGTTTTTAAAGATAGGGTCTCTCTGTGTAACAGCTCTGGCTGTCCTGGAACTCGATTTGTAGACCAGGATGGCCTCGATCTTACAGAGATCGGCCTGCTTCTGGAGTGCTGGGATAAAAGGCATGTGATACCACCACCCAGTTATTCTAGGATGTTTTATTTCATTATTTATAATTAAATGCTGAGTTTAAAATTTCCTCGCTAGCCAATATTATTATAATTATTACTAGGGATACTGTGCAAGAAGCACACTAATAATTACAAAGCTATAGACAATGATTTTTTTTTTTTTTTTTTTTTTTTAATTTATTTTAATTTATTTTGCAATACAATTCAGTTCTACATATTGGTCACGGATTCCCTTGTTCTCCCCCCTCCCGTCCCCCTCACCTTCCCCCCAACGCCCCCCCCATTTGTGTTGTTTCTTTTTTTTTTTTTTTTTTTTTTTTCCCCTTTTCTATTTTAATAAAAAGGAAAAAAAAGAAAAAGGTTATAACTAACAAAAGAAAAACTATATACAAAAGTACAATGACTATATACAATATATACAAGTAATAAATTAGACAATGATTTTTAATTCAACTTCAAATCATATTATATGAGTGAGAAATTTTATAGATCATTATAAAGATTAACGAAAGAATAAAGCAAGTGTGGAATTACGTGGCCATGTCTTCCTCCAGATCGCCGCTGCTGCTGATCTGAGTACCGTTGGTTTCACCTAGACAACCAGAAAACAGAGCTGGCCCATTTATGGCTCTTTGGACCCCAGTAAAAATAAGCATATAAAGTAAACCAAACTCATTTCACTTGAAACTCTATACAAAACCAGAACCAAGCGATTCAGTTCAATTTAATTTGGTTTCCGTCCCAGTGTTAATGACATCCGTTCAAACACCTCTCTGCTGCCATGCGCAGCTACACAAAGTCTACACGAAGTGACGGTCATTTTCAAGAAGAAACCCACTGTGACAAATAAATACCAATGCGACTGAACACTTGAGCCCAGATTTAAACACTAACCCTGCATTTCTCTACTTTTATTGTTATTTCAAAATTATCATGAAGAACAGAATATATCCAATGTTAGGAAGAGCTAACTGTCTGAACCAAATACATTAGAAACTCCAAAACTTTAACCATTCACACAGACACCAATAACTACCGTTCAATATTTTTGTGTATATGCTGTCAAATTCACATGCAAAACTTAAAAAAAAAATGTGAATCTTGGTCTACATTCAGTATCAATTTTTCCTGACACTGTATGCTTGTATCAATTCTAAGTTTACATTCATTTTGGTTGTTTCTAATATCATACTGTTATTGGGAACATTGCTCAGTGAGTGTATTTACCTAGCAAACACTATGCTCTGGGTTTGATACACAGACAAATAACACTGCATAAGCATATGTGTACATATATGTGAAAATATGGCAAATATGGTATAGGAAAAATTATCATATCAAGACTGCTAGGTCAACAAAAGGCACACTTCAAATCCTGCAGTCATTGCAAAATATAAGATTATAGTATGTGTGGAAGTCAAGTAGAGGGAGGGAAAGGGAGAAAAAGGATGAGTTGCAATGTGAGCAATATGGACATGTGTGAAGACTGGGTGAGCTTCTGTGTCCCCTGACCTTTCTCCATATCCCGTGCAGGACTTAACCCCCCTTCAACTCACGTATTGTCTAGTCTTTAGTCCTATCCGACACCAATTCACTGTCGTTTCTTTAATTTCCTGGATGTCATTAGGCTTCTGTGTGTCCTGGCAGTATCAGAAGCACACACTGAAAACACAACAGCTTTTATCTAGGCCTACCTGTAGATAGCACTTGGTTCATGTAGAGATGTGAATTCAGAGACTACAGAAAGCTCCTGGTGGTTAAGCTTTGTACATACACACACACACACACACACACACACACACACACACACACACACACACACACACACAGTGGCAGAGCTAGAGAATTTCCTGACACTCAGTCATCAGAGTATGAGAGAAAGGCTGGAAAGATTTTAATATCCAGATAAAGAGAGACGGGAGTAGAATGTTAAGAAATCAGACCTCACAATAGAACAGTACGGCCAAGTCTATGCTGAGAGCAGGCAGGGTGTCGAAGAGCTCACAAGGGGACCGTGGTAGCAGCGACAAGGATGGCCCCACTTAAGTCTTTACACAGCTATCTGACCATGTTTTGTGTAAAGGCCTCTAGAACCTGGGCCTCCTTGAGCAATTAGTAAACAAGGAAGCTCTGTAGTCTAGGCCATCACATTCACAAAATGGCTAGAGTTCTAAATCAGGATAAACAATGCATTCTTCAGAAACACAAAGTGGACCCCAGGACCCATGAAAAAATCAGCAAAGGGTCCAACACACTGCAAATTGGTTTGGATATTGATGCATATTTCTTGGGAAAGGATTCAGTGTTTATCATAGACTTAATTCAAATATCAGGCTAGGAAGATAAGCCCAGTGGGAGAGCACTTGCCTAGTGTCTGTGAGGCCATAAGTTCAATTCTCAGCACCTCAAAAATAAGTTCAAATGATGTATAAAGCGAAGGGTTTGGTCTCTAATATCAAATTTTAAAAGTCCAGAGATGAGGCAATGGCTCGGGGAATAGTGTTAACTGTTCTTACAGAGGACCCAATGTCAGTTCCCAGAACCCACACTGTGCAGCTCACAGCCTCCCAAAACTATAGCTCCACATGTCCACCTGAATATCATCTCTCACAGGAATTAAAATGAATAAGAAAAGGATCCGTGTAAGCTAAGAGTATCATTGAGTTATCAAAGGTATTCTCATATAGGCATTGCCAACTTTATTTTTTTGTTTTTCTTTTTGAGATTATAGTATAATTACATCATATCCCTCCTTCCCTTTCCTCCAAACCCTCCCAAATCCTACTTGCTGTCTTTCAAATTCCTGGCCTCTTTTTTCATTAATTACACACACACACACACACACACACACACACACCCCTAAATACATAACTATAACCCGCCAGCATGTTTACTGAGTACAAACTGAACTGTAAGTCTTCCTATAGTTTACTTTAACTCAATCTCCGCATGACCAACAGTGACTGGAAAACTGAAGCTCTGACCTAGCAACCTGTGTCCCCTGAGTCAAGGGCGTTTGTGTTAGATGGAGGCAAAGTATTTCAATAGCTCACTCATTGTTGTATTTGTTGTTTTTACCAGTTATTGTCATTAATCTCTTATCAAGTCATTAATCTCTTATCATAATTTAATTAATTTATAAATTAAACTTTACCATTGGTATGCATGTATTAGAAATACACTGTAAATATATGCAGAGTTCAGTATTCTCTATGGTTTCAGGCATCCACAGGACAGTCTTGAAACATGTCCCTGGTAGACAGGAGGATCTACCAACTAGCAGAAAACATGCAGATTCCCAGTTCCTCATCCACCTGCCTTCAGATCCTGACACTCATCCACATTCCACCTGTTACTGTAGCTGCACTGCTGTGGCTCTACGCTGAGTAAGCATTCCTCTGCTCACTGCATTTGTCCTTCAGAGAGGATCTCTCTAAATCTCTTCACTCTCTTTCAAATATCACTTCCCAATTTCTTATTCCTCAAGAACAAAAGCATTACTTTTCCCATCCTGCACTTCTCCCTCTCTCTCTCTCTCTCTCTCTCTCTCTCTCTCTCTCTCTCTCTCTCTCTCTCTCTCTCTCCCCCCCCTCCCTCCCTCCCTTCCTCTCTCCCTCTCTCCCTCACCCTGACCCTCTCCGTCTCTCTCATAAACAACTGTCTCAGACCTCATTTAGTTCTCCAATCCTGCCTGGATCTGCTTTCTGACAGGCCAACCCATGACAACACCCAAAACTGCCCCTTCCTCTTCCTCATCTCATTTGAGAGTAACCTTGTCCTTCCAGTTTCTCAGGCTAAAAGCATCAGCCTCATCCTGAACTCCTCACTTACACTCACAGCCACGGACTCTCGTAACTATTGCAGCTCACCACTCACAGTTCAGATTACATTCCTGTACTTCCTCCTGACGCTTTCCAAAGCCATTTCTGACTTCACAGAGCTCCTTCCTTTCCTGCGGATCTCTGCCAACACTTCTCTTGGATGTTCTAGTGCCCACAAACATTCTCTTCTCAAATTCAGTACAAACATGAGCTAGAGCTCTGACCCTCCCCCTTCAGTGCACAGAACACAACACTGTATATTTAGTAAAGGCCCTGCAAGTGGTATGTCAAGTGAATGTTATTTGCAAAATTCCAATAAATTCGGTACCACAAATAATCCTTACTTTGATTAGTAATGTTTGGTGAAATAGTGGTTTCTGCTTTTGTAAAACTATCCGTCATGTGTCCAAACACCAGCATCAAGAGCGGAAGTGAAGTCCCATGGATAACAGCAGCCAGCGTCCCCAGAACCATGAGTAGCTTGTCGAGCCAATCCGCATAGCGAAACTAGTAGGAAGTAGAGCATAGGCAGTGAGCACATGGACCCATAGGTGGCGCTCCAAAACAGACTCCAGATTCAAGCACTCTTCAGATGGTCACTCTGCTGGCTCACACCCAGCTCCCCTCTCCCTCTGATGAACTTTGACAATAATCTCACCGGGGCTGTACCAATTTTTTTTTAATTTATTTTTACTTTTATTTACATGTATATGTGTGTGTGTGTATCTATTTGTGTGTGGGGGCACATGAATGTGAGTGCCGTCAAAGGCCAGAAAAGAGCATAAGATCCCATAGAGCTGGAGTTCTAGGTGGTGGAGAGTTGTCTGATGTGGGTGCTGGGAATTGAACTCCAGTCCTCTCTCTGTAAGAGCATCAAGTGCATTTAACAGTTGAGCCATTTCTTCAGCCCATGTAGTAATTTTTCATACTGAATTCAGTGTGTCTTTTCTTCTGTAATATCTGATGATAATTTTTAAAGTTTCCAAAAAGATGATAGCAGAAAAATCGTATTTTGAAAAGATAGAAATCATTCTCATTCTGTGGTGGCTAACATTAGCAGACACTGTGACTGAAATTACAACCACTGAGGAGAAATACCTTTCTCCACACAACTAAACATTTCCAGATTTAACTGAAGAGAGAGAAGACACCTGGCTGCTAAATCCTAGGAACCGATAATCCACCATGACCTTTATTAATGTGTGTTGCGGAAAATTTGTTCACACTGACACTCCGAGACTGCCAATAAAGTTTAACCTTTAATCAGGGGCGGAGTTAGTGACGAGCTGACCAGAGGACCCAGGATACATACAGAGAGGCACAAGAAGTAGTAGGGAGGGTTTAGAAAGAGTCGAGGGCCCTCTTGGATGAAGAGCGAAGGTCACTGGTGGCTTCTCCGATCAATAAGGTTTTTACCCCGATATTTGACTTTGAATTTTATTAATAATAAAAAAAAATTTAGATAAACTCTTCAAACATGGATACATAGGACTTTGAGTCAAACCTGCCAGGAATTCAGAGCCTTGAAGGATGGCATGTTATCAAGCATGGTGGTATACCATGGTAATCCCAGCACCCAGGAGTCCAGGGCCTTGAAGGATGGCATGTTTTCAAGTGCAGTGATACAACAGTAATCCCAGCACCCAGAAGGCAGGTGGTAGAAGGGTCAGGAGTCTGAAGCCATTTTTCCTACACACACAGCAGGCCCCTGCTGTAAACAGTACCAAAGCGATGGCATGTGATACAGCAGCTTTCCTCTACTGGCTGGCAATGACCATCAAGAAAAATATAGGTAAAAGATCACTAGCAACATAACTAACTAATTTGGAAAAAAAACTGAAATCTAAGCCAGGAAGGGAAGCTGCTGAGGTTCAGTACCTGGCAAATTATGATTAGCATTCTTCTGAAAATAAGCTAAATCCAATCAACTAACTTTACCTCCACATTTTCATACTTCCTAAGAAAGCCTTATATCACGTGGAACATCTCCGTCTTGAGGTAAGTATTTTAAATAATGACTACAGCCCAAACTCACCATCCCAAATATGCCAACGGCTGGTTTCTTTTCTTTCTTCTCCTTTTTACTGAAGAACACAACAAAGGGATTATGCAAAGCTACGAAAATGCTCCGAAAACAGCCTATTATAAACTAATGACAACTGGGACAAGCAGGTCTACACAGTACTCATTCAAACAGTCTGATACCATTTGGGAAGTGCAAATACAAATGTTCATACAGTTTAGACATTTGAATATATGATTACTATCACTGAGTATTGTATTTCTATTTTTAATGCTTTATGCGTGTGTGCATGTGTGTTCTCATGAGTGTGTGTGGGGGGGGGGGGAGACACAAACATGCAATAGTGCGTGTGTGGAGCTGGGAAACCTGGAGTGTCATTCCTGGCCATCTACCCTGCTAGAGACAAGGTCTCTTGCTATTCACCGCTGGATTTGCCAGGCCAGCTGGCCCACAAACTTCCAGTGATTCTCCAGGTTCCACTTCACGTTTCTCCACTAGGGTGTTAGTATTACAGGCAGGCGTTACCACGTCTGGCTTTGTATCAGTTCTGGAGACAAAAACTCAAGCTTATGCAGCAAGCACTGTCCCCACAGAGCCACAGCCCCTATCCCAGGTGTTGGGATTTGTATAAGAGTATTTTCTTGTGTGCTAGATGTTTTCTAATTTTTGTGATGAATACACGCAGCCACACATTTATTTGCAAATAAAATACTACACATTAAAAACGAGTTTTCTAGCCGGGCGGTGGTGGCGCACGCCTTTAATCCCAGCACTCGGGAGGCAGAGCCAGGCGGATCTCTGTGAGTTCGAGGCCAGCCTGGGCTACCAAGTGAGTTCCAGGAAAGGCGCAAAGCTACACAGAGAAACCCTGTCTCGAAAAACGGAAAAAAAAAAAAAAAAAAAAAGAGTTTTCTAATTTTTTTTTCCTTTTTTGGTTAATTTTAGTCTAATTAGAATATTATGGCTGGGCATGGCAAAGCATATTTATAATTCCAGTACTAAGCTGGCTAAGGCAGGATTATTATAAGTAGGAAGAAAAGCTGGGCTGCACAGTGATACTCTACTTGAAAAAAGAGAAAGAAAATAAATCATGTTCCAGAATTAATCTACCCAATTACCTCCTTGGTAAGTCTAGGTACAGTTTAATTACTATGTAGACATACATTTATTTATTTATATATTTAGCTAGTTAGTTTGCTTGTTTATTTATTTATTTATTGGCACTATGGATAGTATCTGTAATCATTCTCTTTACTACAGGGAGAGCAGTGATGAGATGTTGGACACAAGTATCCTAACTTGAAAGGTAATTAAATTACCCTATGAGAAAATCTAATTCTACAAGGACATCTGAGGTGCTAAGTGGACTGTAATGGAAACAAATGCAGCCTTAAAAAGCCATGTTTAAAAAACAACAACAACAACTATAAATTGCCAAAAAGCTGCCCTTACACGTAAAAAAGTCAACTATTCTTCAAAGTTGCAAATCAAATAACTCCACCTCCAACCCACGTTTCTCACCACCTGTCACTGCCGGCAGGGATGGCAAGCTATACCAAACCCATCTTAGGAAAGACTGTTTTACAAAGAACATCACTTTGACACAGACTTTTAAGTTTAAAAGTTTTTTCTCATGTACTAAATGAAGTAAGAAGATAGTTTTAAAGGGGAAAAAAGTCCAGTTTTTAGTGGTACAACATGAACACAAACACACAAGCTCAGGATGGGTCCTGTGCTGGCGCATCTAAGACAGCTTCAGTATCCCTGGAGCTAGGATGCAAGAAAAAAGAAATCCATAAAGCATTCCAGCTCTGTGCTTCGTCCTTACTTCTTCCTTCTCTGACACTGATGCTACTCGAGAGGTGGCATTCAAGGCAAGAGCTTGAATAATGCATTAAAAACTCTGAAGAAGGCACACTGTTGACCTTTGACAGATAAGAAACATGCAGAAGAGTTACTTAACTTGCCCCAGGTCCTGTTGCTAGAACAAACACTGAGATTTAGAAGGCAATCTGCTGCTGGACCACTGAGCTGTGAGACAGGAGATGCAAACCTCTGAGACTTCAGCCAGGATGGAGTTCGGGGGTACGGCATTTGCCTATCACTGGGCCAGAGATATAATTCAGTAGTAGAGACTTGTCTAGCATGCACAAGGCCCTGGGTTCAGTCCCTAGTACTGAAGGGGAAGGGTACTATCTGTAATGTATATCTATGAAATTTCTATAATAGCATGTTTGACTATCAATTTGTCTTTTTGAGCACTATGTTCTGAGATGATGGGTGTTCTGAGCAATCTACCAGGAGTGAGAACTGGTGACAACCTGTATTCTCTCTCCCAGAACTAGAACTTAAAAATGACTTAGGGGCTCATCCAGGCACCATCCTAGAGGAGATTCTCAGAACCATAAAAATAAATAAATAATAACAAAATCAGTGCTGATAAGCAGTTTAATAAGAGCCACTAAACAAAATTTAAAAGGAATTTCTCTACTTTGAAGCCACGACAGAACCAATAATATGTGTAGATTCAAACCATCTATTTTCTTTACCTTCCTCTTTGAACATCATGCAATACTTTGTATGTAATATACTTAAGAGTGGTGGTACAAACCTGTAATCTCAGCTCTTAGGGACAGAGGAGGTGGGATGATCTACAAGTCCAGGCCAGCCTGGGGTACACAGTGAGTCTGTGGACAGCCTCCACCTTGCTACACAGCAAGATCCTATCTCAGGGAAAAACAAGTCCAGTGCACACACAGGTGCCCATGTGTGTGTAAACACAGTTCTTTAAGCTATGCTGAGCAATTACCTTCTAAAACATACCACATGTTGGACATATGTGTTTCAAGCTGAGCACAAATGAGATATGAATATAAAAATATGGACTTAGTGTGAAAGAGAATGTCATCCGACTCATAATTTTTATTACATATATAAAAATTACTATGTCTAGGATACCCAAAACTTTTCCGAACTTGATTTCTTTACTTTTTAATGTTGACAGGGGGGGATTTAAAACTACAAATGTGTCTCACAATATTTCTCTTAGATATTACTAACATAGAAGCCTGGCTGGATTCAGATGAAATGTTTTTGCAAGCGCAGTCTCCTCAAATCCCACCACATGCTGAGCAGCTTCACAGCCTGCTCCACCACCACCAGCCACCACCATCAGCCACCACCAGCCGCCACCACCAGCCACCACCATCAGCCACCACCACCAGTCACACCATCAGCCACCACCACCAGTCACACCATCAGCCGCCACCACCAGCCACCACCACCACCAGCTGTGCTGCCTCTGATTACTTGGTGAAGTTGCTAAGAGGGAACTCTCTCCCTGGGAAGGACATTCTCCTCTCTGAATAGCTCCGACCCTAGGACAACCCTCACCTGATGGGTAGTGTGTGTTCCAGATAGCTGCATTTTTCTGCAAAGAAGTTTACAGAATGCTTTACCTCTCATTCCATTCTCTCCTCTCAGAATGTCAGTCAGTGAGTCATTAACGGCATTGTACCTAGCATCTCAAAGTCTTTTAGAGCAATTATTTTCTTTGAAGTTCAAACTTCCCCAACAGAGGCCAGTAGAAATTCCTCCAGCCTGCTCGCATATCTGGCTTTTTGGGTTTTTTTTTTTTTTTTGCATTTTATTTATTTATTGTGCATGGATCCATGCACATTGGAGGGCATGTACCACTGCAAGTGCCTTTGGCGGTCAGGGTCGACTTGCAACCTGCCGATGGTTTCTGCTCCCACTATGTGGGTTCTGAAAACAGTTCAAACGAGGGCTTGTCAGGCTTCGAAGGAGTTGCCTTTACCTGCTGACCCATCTTGCTGGTTCTGCTATGTCTTTGACCTGTCCATTAAATCCTGATTCATTGTTAGTATCAGATACTCCAGGCTCACTTTGTATTTTCTCTGTCCTAGATCCGGCTGAAATTAGCTGTTCTATACAGCATCCCTTTCTTTAACAGAAAGCACCAAGAGTGTTTATTTCCAACATCCATTTCAGTGGACTGAAAGTGAACAACTAAAAAAAAAAATCATGACTTCATATTGAAGTTTCTTATTCTAATTTCACATTTTTAAACATAAAATTTATTTTCTCTTTTGTACTTAACCTTCCTTACACTGAAAACTTTTTATTAATATTAATATATCTATTAATTCCTATTATCTTAGTTTACAATTTTCTATAAACAATGAGCCTGATGAGTGATGTTTTTAATTTCCTGTCACAGGCAGTCCACTGTAATAAAAAAATATACTGAAAATAATTATGTTCTCTTAGCAATTACATTTTCAGTTTTTCTAATTGAAGTATAGGTAACCAGTCTGAAAGAATCTAAATGCTGTTTTGTTCTGTTTCCCTGTCACGCCGCATTCTGTGTTTGTGTAGTTCATCAGACCACAGCAGAGGGTCCAACAAGCAACTCAGGTGCATGAGCAGTCAACAGTGCTCACAAAGCGGAGCTCGTAAAACTTAACGGATCTGAGCCATGGCCCGGCCTAGAGGCTGATCAGGAGCCTCGGTCAGTCACACACATCTGAAGGACTGCTCCAAGCAGGCCAGTTCCTTCCAGTAGCTGGTTTATGTTTCTGAAGGCTGAAATAACAACCACTAATCATTTAGTGCGGTGCTGGAGGCTACAAACGAATTGCTCAAATGTACAAGACATGTCAAGTATGAAAGTGAAACAATCTGGCTACCTCTTTTTGCCCATCTTCGAGAAGTTCTTGTCTGCTCCTCCGTTAAGGTCCTCTTCAAGCTCCATCACGACCTGGGGAGAAACCACAGTTCATCAGCCAAATACCTGCCCGCAGGGTCCAGAGCCTAGGCTGACCTCACTGCCCTGCGAGGAGCCCAGCGGGGAGGAGGAGCCCCGCCCTGATGCTGGCAGGACCGGGCCTGGAGGTAACTCACCCCGGGGATCCGGGGAGCTCCCGGGTCACCCACGTGGACCGGGTGCTGGGCTCTGGATCCTGCCGGCCTGCCCTGCTCGGAGCTGGGCAGCAGGATCCACAGCGCGGGACTGGCGCCGAAAACACCGGGTCGGGGACTCCCGGAGCGACTGGGGCTGTCGCCACTCGGTCCCCACAGACTTCCGAGGCTCCTGCTCCCCCGGACCAGACTCGGGCATCCCGAGCAGCCGACCCTTCCAGGAAACCGTCCACCTCACCTTCGGCTTTCCTTTGCAAAGTCCGCCAAAACCTGGAATTTGGAAGAAGCGACCCTGAGTTTAGCGGAGCCTGGGAAGATGCGGGCAGCGGCCTCAGCCTAGTGGAGCTTCAAGAGCCGCTGCGGGAAGGAGCCCGAGGGCCTCCGAGCGCTTGGTACTAAAGTAGTCTCCAGCCGCCGCCCCGCGGCCCCAGGGCCAATCAGCCTGGTGGGCGGGATTGGGCCAGCCTGCAGGAGAGTTTGCGAAACCAAGGTGCTTCCTGGCTTCCCTGAGCTTTGGAGAAGGGAGCTGGAATCCTCAGTGAGACACTTATATAGACGTGTCTCTACATGTTCAGGTAAGTCTCCATATAGAAGTGTATATGCCTGGATAGCACACCGTTGGATCACTGGTGAGTCATACTTAAAAGGATACTTTACCTGATGGAGCTGATCTATTGTAGTCAATAAAGCAAGCAGGGACCTTGCTTATTCTGTGAAATCCCCTTCTGACAGCATTGCTTTCTTTTTGCGTTTTTAAGGCTGGTAGACATTTTTCTGTGAAAGCCTTTCTTAAGTGTGTTTGGCATTTTCCTAAAGTACATCTATTCAGTTTTTGGCTTGGACGATAGTCCTATACAATGGGCCACTTCAGGGCAGAAATGATATTTTAAAGTACAGAGTATTTTCAAGTTTTAACTCTGGAATCAATGTCCATGTTTTCCCCAGGGAAAGTTCTTACATTTTCTGGAATTCTGATGGATTCAGCTGTTGGAGTGTGACACGACCTTTCTCCATCCAGTTGTGCCCAATGCTGGCAGCTCAGATGTGAAAGTCAACCTGAGACAGAGGTCCTTGTTGACATGCCAGTGAAGAAGCCCTGACCACCTGGAGAGAAGTGGTTGAGCCTCATTTCTTTCTTTATTTTTTTTCTTTTCTTTTTTGGTTTTTCAAGACAGGGTTTCTTTGTGTAACAGCCCTAGCTGTCCTGGATCTCGCTCTGTAGACCAGCCTGGCCTCAAACCCACAGAGATTCACCTGCCTCTGCCCTCAAAGTGCTAGGATTAGAGGTGTGTGCCACCACCGCCAAGCAAGACCCCTGTTTCTTATACTAAGCTTTCTCTGTTCTCACAGATGCCAAGAAATAGCCACAGCTGTTTTTCGTTAACTGTTGTGGGATGATCTGGGGTCTCCTTCCTTCAACTGTGTCTTACCTGCTCCTCAATGGCTTTGGGATGGGGAGGGGGCAGTGCGCCATCCTCAGTGGCCCAGACCTACCTCTCCTCTCTGGTTAGTATGGTTGTCTCATATCCAGCTACAACTCATCTTCCTCGGGATGCAGGCATCACCCGCCATTTTCACCCTTCAGCTTCCTTTTAACGGGACCATCCTCACCTCAGTGTGTGAGCAACTTGTGTTTTCCCTAACATTCCAGAGGGAGCCAGCTCCTTTGGCAGAATTAGTAAACATGACACTTTAGGATGTTATTACTTTATGTCTTCAACAATAGGGACTGGGTCAAGGCTCCACTCCATTCTCCCCAGGGGCTTGAAAAGTTCCCTTTCAATTTGGGAAAAACTGAGATTTGTAGCTTCAACAAAGAAAACAATTTCAGGACAGCCATTAAAAAGCAAGGTTGGATTTGTTAAAAAAAAAAAAAAAACAAAAACACCAAAGATGCTTCAAGAGACAGTAGAAGAAAATCACACCAGACACTGAGAGGAGCTTCTCAAAGGACCATTGGACTTGGGTTTCTTTGCAATGGGTTTGTATTTATAGGATTTGGGAGGCACACAGAAAAGAATTTCCATTTGTAAACGAAGTTGTAAGGTAGATTTGTAACGTTTGATTTAGGAGTGACAGGGGAGTGCTAGAAACTCAAGATCATACATCAGTTTGGCCTCAGCACAGTTTCTTTACTCTCGCTGACAAAATATCTTTGGAAAACATAGATTGTCAGGGGTATCTGAAGTTTCTGGTGTTTCTGAGTTAAAAAAAAAAAAAAAGGTAGATGAGACCCTGGATAAGAGTCAATTTTCCCTAATGCTTTTCTTTCTGTCCCTATAATTTTCCTGTCTTTCTGTCCTGCCTCACTTTAGATTATGATTTTTTTAGTGCTTTTGTTGATCATAGGCTATGCTCTGCTCTAAGTTATACCATATTGTGTAAAACAAAAAAACAGTTGTTTTTCAAGCAACTTTTGGTTCCTTTTTCAGGATGGAAGATGACTGTACCTTGGTGGACATACAGCACCATCTATCTGGTGTGACCCCAGAGGTTCAGAAAGACACACACGTTTCCCTCTTGTTCTGTCATAGCATGCTCACAACTTACTCCTAGCATTTAATATTTTTCATTATACTCTATTTTCAGACTGGCCAAAAATGAATTCAGTCATCTCTATTCAGATTCACAGAGCAGTGTTGATTCACCTCAGATTTTCACCCCTTTATAAGCACAGGGTGGGTAACTGTACCATGGATTCCAAATCCCCAGACTGGCACATGTGACCTCTTCACTTGTTGCCTCTCCAGTATGTCCAACCCATGGTCCTCACAGCTGAGGACAGCTATGAATGCAGCCCAACACAAAATGGTAAACTTACTTAAAGCATTATGAGATTTTATCTTTTTGTATATAAAAAAATGTTCTTCAGCATGAATGTAGTAGATCGTAATGCTGTGCCCCATTATCAAAAAACTGGGCATGTCCAGAAGAAAAAAACTTCATTGTTTGTTGGTGATAAGTATTGGATCCCTGCTGTGGGATAATGCTTTTGTGCACTGGTTTAATAAATTGCTAATTGGCCAGTAGTCGGGCAGGAAGTATAGGTGGGATAAGCAGACAAGGAGAATTCTGGGAAGAGGAAGGCTGAGTCAGGAGACATCAGCCCACCATCCAGGGAGCAGCATGTAATGGCACACAGGTAAAGCCACAGAATACGTGGTGACATATAGATTAACAGAAATGGGCTGAGTTTAAGTGTAAGAGCTAGTCAATGGTAGGCCTGAGCTAATGACCAAGCAGTTTTAATTAATATAAGCTTCTGAGTGATTATTTTATAAGTGGCTGTGGGGTCTGTGGGGCTGGGCAGGACCGGAGAAAACTTCAGCTACAGATTCCTGGTTATTGGGTAACTTCCACTGATGCAATAAGCCAATCAAGCCAAATTAATAAGTCCAGGTTTAATAAACAGAGCAGAGCAACTCCCAGGTGACTCTCAGAAAGATGGGAGAGAAAAATCACAAGGGAGGTCTAGTGACCAGGTCTTAAATATACTATTGGCATGGTCCTGAGCAGCCCCAGGAGAGGAGCTAACCCTTGGTAGGCTTTCTGAGGGGTGGGGTCTGGAATGGGCAGGTCCAGGGAGCTGCTGTTTGGCAAGCTGAGCGCAGGAATTGGGATGGGGCCCCAAGCTGGAGATTCCCAAAAACTGGTAGGTAATGATATTTATTCTTTCTGTACTTAACACACATCAACACCATGGCTTTCTATCCTTTACTCTAAACTGTCCTTGCCTTTATTTATTTATTTTTCTTGATCATGTAATCAAGGTATCATTTCTTTACAAGTTATCAATTAAACTTTATATTAGGCTACTAATTTCAGTTTTCTAATCGGCTGTTCTTGTGTAGTGGGATTGTTCACTGCTTACAGCCTTAATTACAACTATGTGGTCTAGCTGGGGCAAGTGCATGAGCCTTCATCTTCATCATAAGCATTTTTTATCTTATTCGTGCCTCTGCATTCACTTACCACATTTCAGTTTATTCAGTCTTGCTATATGGATGCTGTTTGATCCTTGTGAGTAGTCCTTATGCTACTCAAAATGATACAGGTGTGCAGGACAGCTATATGTCAGCTTGTCACGAGCTGGAGTCATCAGAGAGGAGGGAACCTCAATTAAGAAATGCTTCCTAACCAGGCGGTGGTGGTGCATGACTTTAATCCAGCACTCAGGAGGCAGAGCCAGGCAGATCTCTGTGAGTTCGAGGCCAGCCTGATCTACAGAGTGAGATCCAGGACAGGCCCCAAAACTACACAGAGAAACCCTGTCTTGAAAAAACCAAAAAGAGAAAGAAAGAAAGGAAGGAAGGAAGAAAAGAAGGAAGGAAGGAAGAAAGAAAGAAAGAAAGAAAGAAAGAAAGAAAGAAAGAAAGAAAGAAAGAAAGAAAGAAAGAAAAAGAAATGCTCCCTAGCTGGCCATGGTAGCACACAGCTTTAATCACAGCACTCAGGAGGTTGAAGCACGCAGATCTCTGTGAGTTCAATGCCAGCCTGGTCTACAGAGGGAGTTCCAGGACAGCCAGGGCTATGAAGAGAAACCCTGTCTAGAAAAAAAAAAAGAAAGGAAGAAAGGAAGGAAAGAAAGAAAGAGAGAGAGAGAAAGAGAGAAAGAAAGAAAATACTTCCATAAGGTGGGACTACTGTCAAGCCTGTAGGGCATTTTCTTAATTAATGACTTATGGTGGTATTTTATTTGTACTGAAGTGTGATTTTAATTGTATGTTAATAAATAAAGTTGCCCGGGGGTCAGAACTATTAGAGCCATAGCAAAAGCTGGGCATTGGTGGTGCACGCCTTTAATCCCAGCACTTGGTAGGCAGAGCTAGGTAGATCTCTGTGTGGTCAAGGATACAGCCAGCATTGGAGACATATGCCTTTAATCTCAATACCATAGAAGACCTGGAGGGCTGTACAACAGACAGTGACGAGGCAGTCATGTGGTTGGTTTTATAACCAATGAGAAGGCAGAACAGAAAGTTTATATAAAGACAAACAGACAGGAAGTAGCTCTCTTTCAGAGAGGTCTCTTGGCTTAAGAGGCTAGCTGCAGCAGGTGGGTAAGGCTCTTAGCTCCGATCTCTTGGCTTTCTTCTTTGCATTGGTTCTGTGTTTCTTATTTAATAAGATGTTTGGTTACATTTACAATGACTGATGTGGGAGGGCCCAGCTAATTTTGTGCGGTGCCATCCCTGGGCTGGTGGTCTGGGTTCTATAAGAAAGCAAGCTGAGCAAGCCAGTATTCTTCCATGATTTTTGCATCAGTTCCTGCCTCCAGGTCCCTGCCCTGTTTGAGTTCCTGTCCTGACTTCTTCCAGTGATGAACAGTGATAAGGAAGTGTAAGCCAAATAAACCCTTTCCTCTCCAAGTTCCTTTTGGTCATGTTGTTTCATCACAGCGATAGTAACTCTAACTAAGATATCTACCATTCTATTATATATATAATATGTATAATATAGTCTATAATATATATAATATATTATATAATATCATATATATAATGTTTCTTTGCCAC